TTTTATAATGCGATACCTGTAACAGTGACAAATTCCTGTTCTTCAGCATTTCCACAATCATCCAGAATGGTATTTGAAAAACGCTGAAGCAAAGTATGACAACACCAGCCGCGTGTGCCGTAGCCGGATACTTTTTGTCACCATAGGTCAACGGTGAAAGGGTGGCAACAGTGTAAAAGAATATCGTTATCAAAATCAACGGCGTTATCAGGAACCAACAGATTCTCCAGTAGCTGCTTGTTTTCTTGTTCAGCATGAATTCGATGTCGTCCAGGAAATTTTCTAAACCTGTTTTGTATTAAACAAGACATTTGACATTCATCCTAATCAAATTTTTATATAGACAAATAGATCATAGATTGTATAGATAGTATTATATATTTGATAGATATAGATAGATTGTATAGATACATTTTAATTTGATAGATATAGATAGATAGATTTTATGAGATTCTATATAGACAGAATTTAATAGCTAGATAGTAGATAAATTTAGATAGATAAAATAGATAAAATAGATTAAATATATTAAATAGATAGATAATAATAGATTTTAATTTGATGGATATAGATACATGGATTTTATAAGATTTTATATAGATAGATAATAGGTAGATTTTAATTTGATAGATATAGATAGATAGATTTTATAACATTCTATATAGACAGATTTTAATAGCTAGATAATAGATAAAATAGATTAAATACATTAAATAGATAGATAATAATAGATTTTAATTTGATTTTTAATTTAATGGATATAGATAAATGGATTTTATAAGATTTTATATAGATAGATAATAAGTAGATTTTAATTTGTTAGATATAGATAGATGGATTTTATAAGATTTTATATAGATAGATAATAGATGGATTTTATAAGATTTTATATTGATAGAATTTAATAGATTTTAATAGATGGATTTTATATAGATAGATTTCAATGAGTTTTAATTTGATTTAGATATAAATAGACATAAATAGATTTTCATTTGAAAATTATATATTTGCAAGAGTATACAAACCATATACCCAGGACACGGCAGTGATTTCGAACGAAGCCAGAATGAACACGACGAACGACGTGCCATAGTAATCGACCAACATCAATAAAAATTGTCCACCCTGTGATTAAAATTGATCATTATCGTCGATGAATTTCAAGTGTGATCTCTTGAAGTCTTGAATTGACGATCGACAAACAATTATTAGATATCGTATAAAACATGTATATATCTATGCATGCATCTCTGATAAAAACAATGTTTTAATCTTTGAGTAGCGTGTCAAAAATGATACACAATGGCTCAGTGGTACATTGCTCAAGTTTGGCATGAGTATATAATTTTTACATACTTTTTAAAATTTCCCGGCTAGTTATTACTCAAAAACTAACTTGACACGCAGATTATTTCAGCTTGCAAGGTTATCTTCAAATAAAGTCGAAGAAACAAACAGGCGGTGGGAAAGTGTTGTGGGTGGGAAACAGTTGAAAGATTTGTTGAATTACGTACAGGAGTGACGTAAACGGTGCTAACAGCGAATCCTATTGAACAGACGGATACCACGATTTGCCAAATTTTCACGTTCGGCAGCTTTTCCTTCAATGCGGTCACTATCCCTGAAACCATTCCTACGATGCTGCCTACGCCGAGGACGAACATCATCACGAAAAACAACACTGCGAATAACTGGAATTAAATAAGAGGATCATCTTATGAAAAAAGTAGTGTGTGCAATTGGAAAAAATTAACAAAAGCTTCCTTGTTTATCAATGATGCAATTATATATGAGCAAAAAAAAAAATAAATAAAAAAAGGAAGAAATCCTAGACAGATGTAGATAGTTTTTTTTTTTTTAATAGATTTATTTCTTTACTTGGGGCTAGAAGGCTGAACAAAAGGTTCCTTATTTATCAATGATACAATTATATATGAGAAAAAAAAATAAATAAAAAGAAGAAATCCTAGACAAATGTAGATAATTAGTTTTTAATAGATTTGTTTCTTTACATGAAAGGTGAACAAAAGGTTCCTTATTTATCAATGATACAATTATTATCAATGATACAATTACATATAAGAAAAAAAATAAAAAAAGGAAGAAATCCTAGACAGATGTACTTTTTAATAGATTCGTTTCTTTACTTGGGGTAGAAAGGTGAACAAAAAGTTCCTTATTTATCAATGATACAATTACATATCAGAAAAAAAATAAAAAAAGAAAGAAATCCTAGACAGATGTAGATAGTTAGTTTTTAATAGATTTGTTTCTTTACTTGGGGTAGAAAGGTGAAGAGGAGGTTCCTTATTTATCAATGATACAATTACACATGAGAAAAAAAGAATTAAAAAAGGAAGAAATCCTAGACAGATGTAGATAGTTAGTTTTTAATAGATTTACTTGAGGTAGAAAGGTGAACTTCGCAATGGCGTCAGGGTAAGAGATGAACGCCAGACTAACACCGGACGTAACCACTTTGTCGATATCCGTCAAGTCCATTTCGTAGGCCAGGTTCCCCAAGATCCCAAAGATCGTGCAGCCCGCTATGAGGCTCGTTACAGTGTCGAGACTAGTTACAATGAGCGCGTCCCTGAAAGCACAAGAGTTTATCTTACAAAATAATCCTGATGATACTGAGTCTGATCTTTTAGAATTGTCGAATATTCGCCTGTATGTTTTACCTGTATATGTTGTGTCTGAAGTCATTGTGCGACGAGTACGTGATGATGGAGCCGAAACAGACAGAGAGCGAGAAGAAACACTGGGTGACAGCCGCGTACCAAACAGTTGGTTCCAAAAGTTTCGACCATTCCGGGGTGATGAAGTAAAAGATCCCAGTCACAGCACCTTCCAGGGTCACTGCTCTGACGAGAAGTGCCACCAAGATGATGTACGGGAAAATTGCCAGGAAATAGGAGAATTTCCCTGAACTCTTCACACCCTGGAACGTTATCAAGATAACGGAGGACCAACTGACCAGCAGGCACAATGTTAACTTCCAGTCTGGCAGTCCAATCCCATCGTCGATGCTGTCTTTCTCTTGAAGCACCACTTTTCTGGATCATCGTCATCGTGAAAAATGAAAATGAAAAGTTAGAAAACTTGTAGGAAATTTTTTTTTTTTTCTTTTGAAACTTAACTAACTTACAGAAAGTAGAGCTCCGCGGAACTCTTGCGTTCTTTCTTGTCGAATAATTCGAGGAACACGCTGGCGTTCAGCCGTGTTTCACCACTGGCCGTTTGGCCGGAATCGATACAATAGTCGGACCATTCATCTCTGCACTTTGCCCACGGCAGTTCAGACGAGAAAGACGCGACCAGAAAGAAAAGCGTCAGCGACATCAGCGAACTGTAATACGTCATTAACGCCGCGTTCGAGCAGAACTGCGACCATCCAACACCTAAAGCAATAATTCTCGATACAGTGATTCTGCTTGAGCCTCGATGATTAAAAAATTCACACAACTTAACATTGCTTCTAGAACAGCAATGGAACTTTATATTTATTTTACAATAATTGTATATTGTATTTTATATTTATTTTATACAATAAATGTAGCGATTTTCTTCTGTTCCGTTCATACAGAACTATACTAACAAGAATATTATTATACTAAATTATACTAATAATTATACTAATAACTTTATATTTATTTTACAATAATTGTATATTGTATTTTATATTTATTTTGCAATAAATGTAGCGATTTTCTTCTGTTCTGTTCATACAGAATTATACTAACAAGAATATTATTATACTAAATTATACTAATAATTATACCAATAAGATAACACTAATAATTATACTGATAAGAATATTGTTAATAATAAAATTAAAATCATTATGGTAGATATTATAATTAGTCGTGGATTTATTTCTTCTGGATTAATTAATTTAATTTATTATGTTTGTGTATTATGTAGCTTCACCTATTCACCATTGCAAATACAGTGTAGTATTGTATTAATAAAATGTATTCGATCGAGAAAATAAGGAGATTTATCGTTGTCATTGAAATTATCTAATTACCACTAAACGCAGGCGAAATGTTCCACACCTTGATCGAGGAGGACGAAGAGAATTGGCCGATGATCATCTCCAGGTAGTAGAACGGTTTCCCAATCAGCAACAGGACGACGATGTACGGTATTAAGAATGCACCTCCGCCGTTCTCATAGGCAGTGAATGGGAACCTCCAGATATTGCCGAAACCTATCGACATCGCGATGCAGGACATTAAGAATTCTATCTCGTTGTTCCACTTGCTTCTCACTTCTTCCGTTCCTCTCGTGGTATCTGAACACCTGGTGGAGACCGATTCCTTTGGTCGTTCGCATGATTTCGATTTCCTCGTGTCATCGTCGACGAACGCTGGATTCCGGTGGCCCTCGTCCTGTCGAATGATTCAGAAATTTTTGTTTTTTTTAATCTTCGTTTGGTGTTTTTGTTGAAAAAGTCTTCTTCCTTTTGGAGGTAGCCTCTCGTGAGTTTCTCTCTTTTTTTTTTTCAGACAGACTTTTTTTCTTCAAATTTTTTCTCAAACGAACACGTCGCTTGAAACACGTGTTAAAAAATTTGTAACAAAGTAATAACTACGCTGCAGTAAAAACCGTGCCGTCGATAGATAGCGATAGAATTAGATTCTAAGCTCCTTGGGATTACGGATAACGATCGTTATCGCGTGAGTAAAATCTCGTTATCGCGAGTGCACGTTATGAATATCAGGCGTACCTTTCCCCCCCTCTCTCCCCCCTTTCCCTCCTCTCTCAGTGAAATTCTATTGCTTAAGTTACTCGGCGAGAATTCCACGAAATTACAAACTGATGATATGAACCTTGCCACGCGACGGAAAAAGTGTTAAATTTAAGAGAGGAACGACAGATCGATGATCCACGTGTGACATTTATTAAAGGAGGAATCACTCATCATTACTCATCGAACTTAGGAAAATACGTCTACTCTACGTTTTAATTTCGATTATCTCATTACCGTGTTCTCCACAAATACCACTCATTTACTTCGTTCTTTCTTCACTTTTCTTTTTTCTTCTTCTTCGAACAAACTTAAATTGGAATTGGTACCGATCATTCGCGACGCGCATTGCACTCGGTCGAAGTGTCGAAAACTAGAGAGGAACGAGCCTCGATCACACTCACCATTTTGTTCTTCTTGTTCACCTCGTTGTACAGACTAGGACGAAATATCGACGACCAAAAAAAAAAAACAAAAAAAAGAGAGACGATGTTGAAAAGTTTTGTTTAAAAACGAAATGTCGGGAATGTGATTTCGAGTTGCGCCGCGATCGACATCTCCTCTTCTAATCGCGGTTATTATACGTATGCCGATATATTATACCCCCGACGAATAACTCGGTGAAACCTTGATTGATAAAACGATCGTGATCTCAACACGCTCGACAGGCTACATCGCTGTTTCGAGTATATAAGCCCGAGATAACGATTGATCCGCAAGGGTACGAAGCAGTGACGTTATTTTATAAAAATTGTGACACCTCATATTTTTATATTAGAAGGGAAGGCTGCTTCCTTGCACCTGACTTTTTTGTTGAAAAGTCGTCGCGACAGCGACGAAACACCGTGAATTAATCTTCACCGTGAAGTTGGTGTTGAAGAAATGAAAACGTGTAAAAAAGGAACGTTGAGAAGAGCACGATCATGGAGACCAACGAAGATGATGATCAATCAAAACCGAACAACGTATTATTGATAAACATATATTGTTATAAATTTGTTGATAATTTTATATAAATTAATGTTAACAATAAATTTAATGTTAACAATAATTTAATGTTGACAATAACTTGATGATAACTTTACGTTAATGATAATTTTAATTTATAGATTGTTCGCGATTTAACGATAAATTTATATAATTCTTCTAATTACATAAATTTAAACAAACAACGTGAAGCAGTGTAAATTTAGGATAAATCTAACGACCGAAAAGATTATTAATCATCTGATATTCAACTGATGACATGATCAGCTGAAAAAGATTCTGGAGAAACTCGACGAAGGGGCGAACAGTTTGGGAACAGAGGAAGATCTTCGAAAAAAAGATACCGTGCACGAAGAGATGATTGAAAAATTGAAAGAAACATCCGGGACTGCTCCGTTTCCTCAGAGTGAAATCGAGAAATTCCTGCGCGAAAGATCGATGAGTCGAAGCTTCGTGAACGTCTTTTTAAAAATTGGCTTCACCGAGGAGTTCCAGAGGTGAGAAACAAGAAGAAGAAAAAGAAGGGAAAAAATTTCCAACGCATCGACCAATCGTGGAATGAAACAAAACGTCCACGTCTGTTGGTTTATAGCATTTAAAAAAAAAATATATATATATATGTTATATATATAAATATAATGATATATATTCATTATATTATGATATATATAATGATATATATAAATATGTATATAATGATATATACATATATATAAATGATATATATATAAATATGATATATATTCATTATATAATGATATATATATAAATATATAATGATATATATAAATATATGATATATATTCATTATATAATGATAT